CGGGAGTTGCAGCACGTGCATAGACGCTTACATCTGATCCGGTGTCTATGAGCAATTGCTTGCTCGTTTGTCGACATTACAAACAAGCAGCGTGGAGTCAGAGCGTAGTTGTTGGCCGCCATCAACGACTGCCCTCCTTTTTTGACGAAAAATTGCACGGTTGGATACATTTTCGGGGTTTTTGTCCAATTCTCTGGTGGTAGAAGTATAACCCTGGCTGTCGTGCTTTTTGCACGTGACTTGCTTCTTGCTTGTCTTCGCACTCTTAAAGGATTATTCCTATGTTGACTAATTTCCGCTACTTGCTTTGTTAATTCTGTGATCTGCTCTTATTGCTGCATTGCGTCGGTTGTGGACATAACTTCGGATCGGTTGGCAACTTCGTGTATCCGATCGGTCTGCTCTGCAACCTCTTCCAAACGATTCTGAGCTCGTGTGGTGAGAATAATCGGCATCTGTGCAGGAAGTCGACCCAACCATAATGTTCGAAAGAGCTGCTCAGGTACTATTGTTCCAAAACATTGCTCAGGTACTGTTGTTCCAGAGGAACTGTTGTTACATTTTTTACGGAACAAATGTAAATGCCTTAGGAATTGTGACGGCTTTCGGTCGCCTAAATTCTCGTATTCCAGTAGCTGGCGTGTACGATGCTCCTGTGACGCAGACAGTCGTTGTATTAAGGTCCTTTTTAATGCTTGATACTTTCCTTGCGCTGGCAAAATGGTGATGACGTCTTTTACTTCTCTTGCGTATTTTGTATTTAATTCTGATAGTACATGAGCGTATATCGTGGCGTCTTGTATAATTCCACCGAGGATAAACTGTCCTTCTAATTGTGCAAACCATAATTCTGGTTCGTCCGACCAGAAAGCGGGAGCTCTGACTGCGACCTTGTGCACAAACGGTTCATCTGTTTGATTTGTCTCGCTTGTTGAATGCGATATGCTAGTACTGTTAAAATTTCATAGATTTACTGTCTCGTTGACGAACGTTCTACTGGCATTATCCTTCAAATTACATCGGGGTCACCAATTTGGGGATGTTGGTGATCGTGGAGGTTTGATTAAATTGCTCTTTTTACGACTATATATGTATATATTTTTGCTATCTACGTTTGTGTATCTTAAAGCTAATTGCCACTTTGAGATTTTTGCGCAATTGTCGACGCCGGAGGATTTGCCTTTGACAGGCATTACTACAAGATTCGTTCGGTTCCGCGTTAGATTCGCTCGGTTCGTTCTCCTTCTCGACGTAACGGGGGGAGAGCGGTCTCCTTGCTCCGCGGTTGTACTTATGCAGAGTATGTAGTGGTGGCCGTATGAGGCGTATAGGGCTTAAACATAATGGTTGTGTCTTTTCTTTGCGTGGTAGAGTTGGGACTTTTATCACCGATCTTAGCCGGAAAGGCGTGCGGTGAGCCTCGTCTGTAAAGAGGATGAGTTCGAGCTTCTTGGTGTTGGTGAAGGAGTTCTTTGGCGTGGGACTTTTTCGCTTTGGTCAAGTAGCTGGAGATCTTGGTGCTTCCTCTGAAAATAGAGCCTTCAGCAATTTAACTTGCCTTGATTCCTTCTTTCTCTGATATAAGTCTGGTAGATGCGCTGGTCCTCGTGAAGTTCCTGGCGGTGTTCCCTTCTTTGCCCTGTAATTGATGAACGCGTATTTCAGCGAATTTTTTTTGCCAAAAGAGCACGTATTTCATTACCTCGGGATAAACGCGTGTTTCAGTGATTCTATCACTCGGATGCGTGTTTCAGCATCCTTTGGATATTGCCGATTTAACACTTACTCAGCACTGTGTGATGTCATGGCCTTATGTTATGACACGTCCTTTTTAGTGTCTGGGCACGTATTTCAGTGTCCTATACCGCTGGATACACTTCTTCAATGTGTGAAGAAGAGCATGTGTTGGTAGTGTTTTTGAGAGTGTATGTGTGTTCCAATGCTTGCCATAGAGGAGCATGTACTTCAGTGCTTCGGGAGGCGCATGTTTCAGCATCGCGAGATCTGTTCGACCACCCACAAGGGCCTCTTTTTGTAGGCCCCTTAGTTAGATTTTTACTTCGAGCAAGCAGACTCCGTGGTACGTTGTCTAGCGGCGGAGTCGCGGACTACGCGCTCCCCTATGCTGCGGTGAGCCGGGTGGCGTTCGGCGGCGCGCGGCGACTTATGTGCAATATCGTAGTGATGTACATCCACCACACTACCATTCAATTGCCCACCGTTCGTTTAAACACCGTTTAATTGTACACTGTTCATTTGGACACAGGAAAATGCACACCGTTCAGTTGGACACCGTTCAATTGCCTACCGTTCATTTGAACATTTTCAATTGTCCACCATTCAACTGCTCAACGTTCGTTTGGATACGGAAATTGCGCGCCGTTCATTTGGATACAGAAAGATGCACACCGTTCATTTGGACAGCGTTCAATTACCCACCGTTCAATTGCCCACCGCTCAAATGCCCACCGTTCATTTGGACACAGAAAGATGTGCACCGTGCATTTGTTCAATTGCGCTCCGTCTATTTAAAAACATAATTGAAAAGATATAAGAAATAATTTAAAAAAAATAGTAATTATTCAGTTTAGGGCCCTGATCTTCGGTTTCGATTAAAATAAACTCAATCGACACGTTTTTGCACGAAAAACAATTTTTTTATTTGACAAAATCATCGCTCTCTACTGCGAGGTAAGATATTAGCTGACAAAATTGGGAGCGGTGCACTTGGACACCGTGCATTTGGACACAGCCAATCACAGCACCGTGTGATTAGAGACATTTGTAGGATCCCTTGGAACAGCGACTTGTGATTGGACTGTGTCCAATTGCCCCGTGTCCAACTGATATACACCCGACAAAATTGATTACTATTAAGGTTAGGAAAACTGTCACACTGACGACAAACAGCGAGATGTATATGCTCTGTAGCTACTTGCGCATTTCCTATAGTTTCCGAAATATTAATAAAAAGGTGCCTGTTTCTAGCCAAATGACTAGCGGAGTTTCGCCCCCCAGAGCCTCCGCACAGCGGCGAATGGAGGCTGAAGTCTTTTGGGATCTTAAGCACAGTGGGCAATAGAACGGTGAGCAATTGAATAGTGTCCAAATAAACGAAGGTCCAATTAAACGGTGTCGAACTGAACGGTGTCCAAATGAACGGTGGGTAATTAAACGGTCCAAACGAACGGTGCGCAATTGAACGGTGTGCAGATGAATGATGGCATTTTCTGCTTTTTATCCAAAAGTAACTGTGTCTAATTGAACTCTGTGTAAAGTTTCATGTCTATTTGCAACATGTCTATTTACAACGTGTCCAATTGTACTGTGTCCAAATGCACCGCTCCCCTAAACTTGACCTTTGGGTCAAGATCAAATACATCATCGAATTCCTTGTTTTCAATCCTAAAACTTTTGTATTAATGTTTTTCTCGATATCGCTTTCCTAAGGAGTTATTTAGACGTCCCGGAACTTTTTGGACATTGTATATCGCATTTTGCCTCTTTAACAGTACACAGTATCGAAAAATTATAATATATTTTTCAAACTTCTTTCATTAATAATTTGTTAATAGACAATGAGCGACGGCTGAAATCTTCTGAAGGTTACTCGTGGACTATTCCAAATGCAAGTAAATGCAATTATTAATTCACTAGATAAAGCAGAGCACTGAGTGGTGGTATGAAATTGAGTCTGTATGCATTTGGTCTCCATCCGTTACTCAAGAAGGTGGCCTCATCATATATATGAAAGTCAAGATCATAGGTACTAGGTATGTTATTGGCTTGGTTTACATCATGTTTGATACGTGTACTAAATAGTAACTTTCTATTAAATAATATTAATATCGACGATGTATATAGTATGTCTGAATCGTATCGTACCAGAGTTAATATATAGCTAAAATAGGTCGGGGTGAGTAATGGAATGGGTGTCTTTTTTTAAACAACCACGTGAAATTTTGAGATATTAACAACTCCACTGGCCAATCAGCACACGCGCGTGAGACAAACGCTCTACGCGCTGTAGCATCGGCATAACAGACCAGCCGACAAGGAAAGCGTGTTGCTAGGAGGCTGGGCCGGCTAGTCTGTCATGCCGATGCTACAGTGCGTACAGCGTTTGTCTCGCCGCAGTGCGTGTGCTGATTGGCTATTGAGTTGCCGCTCGATAGAAATCTTTCGTTGGTAATATCTTAAAATTTTATGTGGTTGTTTAAAAAAAGACACCTATTCCATTATTCCCCCTGACCTATTCTAGCTATATATTAGCTCTGGTACGGTACGAATCAGACACCCTGTATAAACAACTATATATTAAGTTGGTATAATACTCTAATGGTAATATATTAATCTAGAAGACATATTATATCAATTGAATGCGTCGTCGTTGATATGCATTGTTAGTATTAAAATTATTTAATAAAAAGTTACTATTTTATGCGCGTATTAAGTGCACGATGTAAACTAGGCCATTGCAAAGTTTTACCCAAAATATTATACATTTGAACAATATACCTTGCATAAATGAAATTTATATAGTATATAATGGGCGCGTTCAGCGAAAAAAGCGCTCAGTAAGCAATCAGCGATTATTGGTTTTTACTGTTAGATTCCTAAATCTAAACCAATTACATTGACGAATTACTCAACTGTTGTGCAACTGTTGAGTTCGCTGAACGCACCCAATATAAAGCGGTAACAAATAGTAAAAGAGAATGTCAAAACTTGATGAAAAAAATAACGAAAATTGTAACTATTCATTACTTTTTAAGTAATGATAAAGATAACGAGTTATTTTGTAAAATAAGTAACAGCGATGGTAATGAGTGTCAATAACTTTAAAAATGTCATAACTTTAAAAATATTTTAAAACTTTTAAAAACAGTAATCTTTTTTTAACAGGAAACAAGTAACGGTAACAAATTATTTTTAGAAAGTAACTTTCCTAACCCTAAGGGAAAATAAGATTGATATCATTTTTCTTTTATAAATACTACCAGAATATAAACCGGCCATAGGTGTTTGCACGCCACTGGCACTACTGACTGCACTTCTTGTAAATGCACCAGCGGTCGGCATCGACGACACAAAGCTGCCGAATATATTGCAAAGGCCGAGTGTCAGCATTTCTTGCGTAGCGTTGACATTAGCACCCATTGCTGCAAAAAGATAACTCGTTAAAAAAACACGAAGGCTTTGTTAAAGACGATAGTTCACAATTTTATATCCTTGAGATTGCGCCTGACATGATATTTCAATAATTGCATTCACTTTGGATGTTTACATGCGGTGAGCGTTTATAAACGTTTATAAGCCGTTCAATTTATTATTTAAATGCTTACACGACGGTAAGAAATACCGTTCGCTTTGGCGATTGTAAATGTGTAAAGTGGTAAATAAAAAATTAATGTGCATGCCATTTGCATTAATATTAACAATGCTAAAATTACAGTGTGATACTGACGAAGATTACGAAAATCTTTATAATAATATTCTGGAAAATATTATGATTGCAAGCAGACGTTCTGTTCAAAGGCCTATACAACGAACGGCAGGTTAAGTGGAGATTATACTAGATTATAATGATGATTATGGACATTGTGTTGTTTGTGAATCTTAACTCGTTATTGTGGATCAAAGCTATCACTCGTAGGAGAGAGAAAGAATATGCGCTAAATAAATGGGGATGGCTTCATTTAACCTTGTTTCTTTTAATCTTCAATATATCTTCATCATAAATCTGGGTTTATATAACTCGCCTTCACTTAGTCGCTGCCTGGGCTGCAGCACTTACGCGAACCACATTCGCTTCTTCACCGACACTGAAGCTATACCCGTCGCATACGCGACTCCAAGCGAGTCACACTCGCGTCTAAGTCTCCGCGAGACTTAGTCTACGTCGCCCGCGCGATGTTACGATTCTCATTACTATTGATCCTCCGACAAGGGGGACTTCTCCTAGCGCGGAGGCGCTGGGAAGCGGTGCATCCACGCAGGGCCGCCGCTTCGATTGATCTAGCTCGCTTTATTCGAGTCGATGACCCACCACACACGGAGACGAAGACTCTCGTCTCCAAAAGCCTCGCGAATCGCTTGCACCCCACGTCATCTCACCGCCGCTGGATAGCGGGCTGCCGGCGACGAAGTCCGCGGTTTCCACGCGGCGAGCGGACATTTATCCGCATCTCGCAAAACGAACCGGTCGCTCTCCTCGGGCCGTTCGAAACACATTTCTTTTTTGCGGTGTAATAAGTATAGAATATACATAATATACAGGGTGTCCCGCGTAAGACAAACCAAAAGAAAAATATAAGTAGAACATATAAAGTGAACAAAAATTGTATAGGTCATTTTTCAAACAACCACGTAAAATTTCGAGATATTAATTAAAATAGTTGGATAAATTAGAACGCGCGACGCGACAGGCGTTCCATATCGCGTGGATGCGGAGCAGCTGCGGAAACGAGAAAGAGGGAATGACATTCTCTCTGTCGCTCGGCGAAAGATCTCTCTCTATCTTAGTTAAATTAACGACATATTCAGTATGAGCAGTGGCAACATATAGGAATAATTAAAAATGATTCAAATTAATTTGACATTACGGATTTAACAGTATAGCACGTACACAAGAAGCAGCCATGCATGCGCGCTTATACATGTATATTGACAGTTCAAGCACTAAGCGTACATGTATCTGGCTTCTCTTTGTGTGAGTAGGAGCCGCGTCTTCTGCCCAGCATCGTTGCCGTGACGGTCACTGTGAAAAGAATAATACGTGCACGAGAAAAAGAGATGGAACGTCATATATCTATCTCCTTCTGTTACTCGTCACCCGACGTTCCAAGCGCACACGTACACAGACGCACATACAGAACTATCCATTTCAGTATAGCCCCGAACGGTCCGCCTCTCTGACCTATGAGATAGGCCCGCGAGCAATCGTCCATTTTCTTCGCCGACCACTACAAACCGTATGTCCCGCCTGTCGCGTCGCGCGTTCTAATTTGTCCAATTATTTTAATTAATATCTCGAAATTTTACGTGGTTGTTTGAAAAATGACCTATACAATTTTTGTTCACTTTATATGTTCTACTTATATTTTCCTTTTGGTCCGTCTTACGCGGGACACCCTATATAAGATTCGAAGGTTTTACATAATGGGATAATTAAACACCTTTTTGCAACTTATAGTTATATAATCATGCTCGAGTTGCAATACTTATTAAGAAAATAATACTGTTGTTGAATGAATAAAGAATGTAATATGTGATAATGATGATTCTAATGAGTAATATAATCTCAAAATAATGTCGTGCCCGTGTTGCCAGGACACGAAAAGAGTTCGAGATCGGTGATGCGGGCGCGGCAGGGTGTGTGGCGGTGGATAAAATGTAGTAGAAGTTTTAACTACTTCTTGTAGTGTAAAATATAAAAAGGTTTATTTAATTTGTACACTTGTATGAGTTTTAATTACTACTCCCGTACTTATGAGTTAATATGCGAACCGCGCGTAAGTCACGTATGACGCGTATGTCGCGGCGAGAGACCGAGATGTTAAGCCTGACGCGAGTGGTCTCTCCGCTTTTTTATAGTATTGTTTTAGACTTGTCGGAGGGGGTGCCTGGCGACAAGAACATTACCATATTTGGTAATGGTGTCATGCGTTTGGAATTGAGGTCCTAAATGCGGAATGTGCAAGGTGGTGCTTATCGCAGCACTTGCACATCGCTTCCTTGTTGTGACGCAATTGAAACAATTCCTCGAGAAGTGTTTCGAAAGCGCTGGTACTATTCGCGATTATAACAATAACATAACTAGGCACATTTTTTTTAACTTATTGTGTAAAATAACAACTTTAATTTGTTTTGCAATGTATATTATTCTGCACTTTTTATTCAATAGCCGTATTATTTTCAAATAAATATTGCAACTCGAATATGATTATATAACCATAAGTTGCAAAAATGTGTTCAACTATCTCATTTTGAGGTTGTATCAAACCTCTGGATATTATATATTATATATTTATATTCTATACTTATTACACAGCAAAAAAAGAAATCCATACAACTAATACGATCCTATAATAGAATCATGCCGAAAAATAAGATACTGTTACGCTGGCACTTGCACACGCGACCGCGCACGGGAGGAATGAATATAACACACAATTATAAAGAACGAGAAGCTTTAATGTACAGCGAAACACATCTTTACAGGCTCAGAATTAATATCGTCGAAAACACGACCGCTCGCGACTATGTCTTCCTGTCAACTCTCTCTGACAGCCGCTGTTATTCTCGTTGCTAACCAAAGCTCGTTCCTCTGTCTCTTCAATACCGGGATCATTAAAAAGATCGAACCATCTTTGATAGCGCGGATGCAGCAATACAAACAAACGATATTCTATTTTTTTTTCATTTTTTGGCGTTTCAGCCAATATATTGAAAAAATGGCGCGTGATAGCAAAAAATGGACTTCAGATTCAGAAAGGACATACCGTACATCTATACGGAATCGAGTATCGGAAAGATCTATAAATGTTTTCTATCAAAATTATTGTAACGAAGAAAAGAAACAAAATTTAAGTCATTTTGGGGCGAAACGGGTTAAAACAACAACGCACCATTGCTTATACTTATATTGCTGCACTCCTACATCTCGCCTCAGAGCGGTGCGGCAAGATGTAGGATCCTAGCGATGTGAGCCGCGCGTTGATATTTGCCTGCTATTACTGGGTTGCAAGCGCTCCTCCCTTAACCATTCAGCGTGAGTTTTTCCTTAATCTTTTACAATTAATTTATCGATTATTATTGAGAATATCGCAAAACGGCATTGGGACTTTTGTGTTTATCTCAATCCGCTCTACGTCCTCACGAAAGATTGTAAAGATCATGTAGGATACCCTGTATAGGATGCTTTGCTTCTATTTTCGCTTAGGTGGATGTGTCCTACTTGCACTGCATCGCGGTAGCGTCGCGAACTCGCGCTTCTCCGAAAACAAGGCGCCTCTCCGTATAAAGAGTTTCTCCATATAAGGCGTCTCTCCATATAAGGCGCTTTCTGAGTAAGGCACTTTTCCAAATTAGATGCGCTAATGCGCCTAACGTGGGGTTTCGCTTTCCGAGACGCAACAATGAATAATTTAAATCACATTCCAGTGACAAATATTGTGTAAACATAATTGGTTTTTGCATCTTTCAATAAAACAACTTATGTTAGATCTATTGTAAGAACTATTTTTTCATTTCTCGTGTTTGACACTGCTTACAGTGCGTCTCGAAACAAATATAGGCACTCACACTTTCGCTGCTCTACTTGGCTGAAATAAGCGTTTATAAGTAGAAATTATGATGTTACGATGACGTTATTATTCGATCTGTAACCGCTTATTATACCAAAACGAACAGTGTAAGCAAAGCTTATAAGTGCTTACAGCACATAAGCATCCAAAGCAAACGCAGCCAGGTCTTAAATTTTTATGCGGCGAGAGTTACGAACGACGGTAATTCGTACAATTTGATTAAAAATTAAATCAGTCAATACCAAACGCTTTAGCTATCGCTACGTTCGCCAAGACAGATATGAGAGGAAGTATCACTATGCCCGATCCGTAATGAGCACACATGTTGAGGAACGTATAAGTTTGATTGCCTACTTGCACTGAAAAGGGTGGTAACGATATTGTAGGCAGGCCGGATTCAATTTTCCCTGCAAAAAAAAGTGTAATATGCTTAAATGTTCTGCATATAAGATGTCCTGCATATGCAGGGAAGAGCGGATTTAGAATTCACACGGGTTAGTTGTCTCAAAGTTTATATTTCACGTAATAAATGGGAAAAATATATTTTTCTCTATAATAAAACTTCGCACGCGTTGCACATTTTGACTGATTTTTGACCGCTATTTTTCTTATCTCATCGCCCCACTAGCAACCTACGAACCTCTCAACATTCAGAAGTATATAATTTACAAAAAATATTTACTGATATCTAAATGAAACTATCAAGAAGATCATCTAGATAGAGAAATCGAAACATCTTCTCAATATCTAGATTGTAAAAACATGTAAAATCTTTATCTTATAAGGGAACCGCACGTACCTGATGTCACGAATTTCGATGATATTTTTTGGGTTATTCTACAACACTAATGTACACGCACCGGGGACTTCCGTTTCCGGTGTGTGTTAGATGACTGGCAAGTTAAATATGTGGAGAAAGTGTGAGAAAGAGAGAGAAAGGTTTGGTATTGAGGGGTGATGTGAATGAGAGGAAGAGAAGGGTAGTAAGGGGAATGTGGAAGTGTGTGTGTGACAGAGAGGGAAGAGTGAAGGGATGGAAAAGTGAGGACGAAGTTGGAAGGCAGAAGAGGTTAGGATAGAGAAGAAAGAGTGGAGAGGTAGAGAGGAGAGAGGTAGAGAGGAGAGAGGTAGAGAGGAGAGAAGTAGAGAGAGACATCTAGGTGAGTAAATTGGAACTGAAAGGCGAAGAAGGTACCGGTGGGATGATAGGCAGAGGTAGGCAGGGGAATAGACTAGAGAATAGTGAAATAGATAGAGATAAGAAGAAATGGAATAGTAAAATTAGAAAGAGAGGATAAGAGGAGAGGTTGAAAAAAGAGATATGGAGGAAAGGAATGGAAGGTCAATGCAGAAAAAGAGAAAAAGTTCGTTAAAGAAGAAAAGGAGAGGAAGTGTGAGGAGTTAGAAGAGATGTTTAAGAGGAAGAGGGAGAAGGCGGAGGAAGGACGGGAAAGATGAGAAAAAGAGAAGAAAGAAGGAGAAATATAATGGTACAAAGGATGAAGGGAGAGGAGAGGGAAGTAAAGGAAAGGATAAAAAAAATAATGAGGGAGATGGGGATAGAGAGGGAGATAAGGATGTGAAGAAAATAGCGAGAAGAGAGTGAAATAGTTGGGTAAGGATTAGAATAGAGAAACTGGGAGCGAAAAAGGAGATAATGAGGAGGAAGAAGAAGTGGGAAAAGAGGGAAGTGTGGATAAGAGATGATTTAACGTGGAAAGGAAGGAAGATAAAGTGAAATTTAGAGGAGATGGCTAGAAGAAAGAAGGAAAAAGGAAGAAGAGTATGGGTAAGATATGAAAGAATACAGATAGATGAAAAGTGGTAGAATTGGGAAGAGGATGAAAAGTGATTGAGCTTGAGAGACTGGGAGGTTGAGAGGAGTGAAGTGTTGGGGGAATTAGATTAGAAGAAGAGGGGAGGAAGGAGGGACAGGGAATAAGAAGGAGGAAGAAAAGTAGCGTTTTTGTATGTAGCGGGATTGGAGAACAAGGACGAGGAATTCTGGGAGAGGGTGAAGAAATGGGAGGTGGTAGTTATGATGGAAACGTGGTTAGAGAAGAAAGGTTGGAAAAGATTGAAGGACAGACTACCGAAAGAATATAAATGGAAAATACAGATGGCGAGAAGGAGGAACAGGAAGGAGAGGGCGAGAAGGGGATGTTAATGGGAATGAGGAAGGACCTAGGGGAGATAAAGTTAGAGGAAGAGAATGAGGAAGCGGAAGGGAGGATAAAAGGGGAAATTATCAGGGAAGGATGTAAATGGATGATTATAGAAGTATATGTAAATGGGGATATAGAGAGAAAGCTATAAGGGTTGAAAGAATAGATGGAAAATGGGGATGAAGGGAGGAGGATAGTTATAGGAAGAGACTTTAACGCGAATTAACGGAAAAGAGAGGAAGGTGGAGTAAGGGTGAAGGAAAGGAGGAGGAAGAGAGGCAGAGGAAATCGAAAGACAAAAAGGTGAATGGGTAAGACACAAAGTTGTTGCAGGTAATAGAGGAAAAAGGATTCATGATAATGTATGAAAATGTGGTTGGGGATAAAGGGGGTGAGTTTACGTATACGGTAGAAATGAGAAGTCAGTGATAGATTATATACTAGGAGGTGTTGGGAGAGGTGATTAGAATGGAGATGGGTGAGGAAATAGATTCATCACCCAATAATCTTGGAGATGAGAGAAGACATTAGGAGAGGGGGTAGGCAGATGATGAGAAGAGCGAGGAAATGTAGCGGTAAATGGGATGAGGAAAGAAGAGAGAAATTTGAAAGGGAGTTAGGAAAGATTCAGGTAGATAGGGAAGGGAGACAGGAGAAGATAGTGGAAGTGATGGAGAGGATAAGGAGAACTTTAAGAGTATGCGAGGTGGAGGACGAGAGAGGTAAAGAGATGAGAGGGAGGATGGTGAAATGAAGAATGCAGGAACAAGAAGGTAAAAAGGGAGTTGAGAAAATGAAGGGAAGAGCAAGATGGGATATAAGAAAAGGAAGATAGAATATAAGAGGCTTTGTGAGAGAAAGAAGAAAGAGGAAAGAGAAAGGATAGAAAGGGAGATGATGGAAGCAAGGACAGAGGAAAGGGTTTGGCAGTTGGTGAGGAGAGAGAGAGCGAGGAAAGCTGGAGTAAATGAGGGAATTGAAATGGGAGAATTGAAGGAATATTTTATGAGTGTGATGAGCGGAGATTCGGGAATGGAGGGAGAGAGAGAATTTGGAGAAAGTGCAAGAACGGTTTATGAAGTGGATAATGAGAGTGGAGAGAAGAAAACCGGGGTATATAATGAGAGAGGAGGTGGGAAGGGATAAGATGAGAGGAAAGGCAGGGAAGAGGGCTTGGAATTTTTAAAGGATACTGGAGGAGGGCGGATGAGGAGTAATGACAAGGAGACGTTAGGAGGAAATGAGGGAGAGATGGAAGACAGGTAAAATAGTGGGGGGCTGGGAGAAAAAAAAGAAATTGTTTATGGAAGAGAGAGAACGGCGGGTAGGGAAAGAGGAGGAGAAGAGATATGAGGAGTTGGAGGAGAGAGAGATGCAAAAGAGAGAGACGGGAAAAGATTAGGGGGTCAAGAAGAAATAAATGGTATCAGTTTATGGAAGGAGAAATAATAGCGGAATACTTAGAAAAGGAGTGGGTAGAAGAAAGGTGGAGGAGAGTGATCAGGTTTACAATGGGGAATGAGATGAGAGAGGATATGTATTGGGACAAGGAGAAAAAGAGGAGATGCAGGATATGTGAGGGTGAAGTGCAGAGCTGGGAACATGTGTGAGAGAGACGTACGGAGGGAGATGGGGAGGGAAGAAGTTGGAGAAACGGTAAGGAAGATTTTGGGGGAAGGAGAGGAGAGGAGAAGGGGATGAAAATGTTGGAGATGTGGAGAGGGGTTGGGGGAGAGGTTGCGTGAATGGGAAGAAGGGAGGGAGGGAGGGAGAGAGAGAGGAGAGAGAGAGAGAGGAGAGAGAGAGAGAGGAGAGAGAGAGAGAGAGAGAGAGAGAGAAACGGAGGTCCACGTGATAAGTAAATTTAGATTAAGTTAGATACATGGATGCCTCTCCCAGCCGCGCACTTGCGCGGCCTAGAAGGGCACCCACAGGCGGGGAGGAGATGACACCCAGACGTCCCCACCCCCGATGCACTTGCGAGTGGGCCGCAACAGCCGGCGATGGGCCCGGGGGCGTAACCTCAGGAGGCGTCCTGGGGGGAGAGCGCTCCGCGCTCAGTCGGCACGCAACCTCCCAGTCATCAGGAGTATGACTAGGCGCTTCCCGGAGTGGAGAGACGCGGCTCTCCTGCTCGTGCGGGACCGCTGACTCCCCTCCCAGAGTACGGCGCGTCCTGACCGTAAGAGGGAAGAGGCATATCGCCCACTCCTCCCCCCAGAAGATCTCGGTCAGGACCATTGGGGTGGGTCGGGTCGTAGGAGCGATCTGGCCCTCAATACCACAGATAGGAGCGGTAATACGGAAGGACCCACGTCTCATCGCCGGGAGAAAGTGTGAGAAGGCCGGGGGGAGTTCTACCCTTCCCGGAACGAGGGGGTGGGACTGCCTGAATGACCCTCACGAGGACCAAAGGCGTCCCGGAAGTTATGTGCAAGTGGTTTCCAGGGCGCCGTCGCGACGGCCGCAAGGGGCCCTGGCAGAGATTTTAGTGGGCTGGCTCCTTCCCCCAGGTTTTAAGGGAGGAAGAGAGTCCCACACTACCCTCTAGGAGGTCCTATCCTCTCTGAGGGCGTGCGTAATGCATTTCCTCTGCCTAAAAAAAAAAGTTAAATATGTAAGTTAAATATAAGTTAGAAGTAAGTTTAGATGTAAGAGGTAGGGTGCAGATATGTGCGTAGCGTGGAGAAGAATATTGTAACTCCATAGACTTTGTAACCCCATACTGGTGATCAATAAAGGATATACATACATATATGTCCACGCATTGGCGTTAATGCTGTCCGTATATCCGTGTGACTCGCACACGATGACACGTCACTCACACACTGCTGCTTGTAGGTGAGGCACGAGCAGTACGGAATGGCGTTTGGGACTAGTGGTATAGGATCGTCGGATATCTTGGAAGAGAATAGTGGGAGTCGCGGCGATCTTCCATCCTCTATCGCAGACGTAAGAGCGAGAGAGATAGCGTTATGAAACATGGTCACCAGAAATGTTGTCCTAAAATACGTGTAACCCATACTAAGAAAACGCTTGACTCACACTCTCGTCTATACGTAAGGAATACGCGGTGTCTCGATAATTATTCCGTTCGCTCGAACGTCCATTCATTTTTTTTTATCATCAAGAAAACTGTAATGTAAAAGGAGATTAAAAAAATATTAAAACGAAAACGACACAAATTTTAGAATACAAGAAAAAAAACAAAAAATAACAAAAACATATAAAAAAAGATAAAA